TTTAATAATAATATCAAATTTTTTTTTTCAATTACCTCGAAAATAAATCATTCTACATTTATTATTTATTGTAATAATTGATTAATTATTATTATTATTATTCGAATTTTTTGTCTTTATAAAATTATCATCATCGTCATCATTTATCTTCAATCGTTCTCATCATTGATATCAATTTTAATTATGCATTTAATAATAATATCAAATTTTTTTTTTCAATTACCTTCACAATAAATAATAATAACATTGATAATTTATATTACTCTCATTATTTATTTATTATTATTATTATTTAATTTTTTTTACTTGTTCTTTTTCTCTTTCGTTTTTGTTTTTTCTTTCTTGGGAACTTCCTATATAGATATCTATATACATACATATAAGGGAGTGTACCTTTTTGGCTACGTGATATTATTATTGGAAATGACGAGACGTGTTTAATTACGAAAGCTCGTGGAAATTCAGACTAATGGTGAGTTATTCGTGATACACACAGTGATATCGCGAAAAGGAGGATATGAGTCAGCTAATGCGATGATGGTACGCGTAATTGGAGTAGAAGACATATCTTTTACCGCAACGTGTATCTCCCACGACCACTGATTATGATATTGATGATTATCTTTTGTGTAGGATGTGGTGGACTATCACTGGTACTTTTGGCAACATCTTACCGATAGACTGGAGCAAATCTTATGCTAGAAAAATGCACATGCCAGCATTGAATCTCAACGAGGCACCAATTTCATTGGAAAGGTACAAAACGAATTAATAAATAGAAAAAAAAAATACAAAAAAAAGAAAAATGCTACAAGAAATCTATACGATTTATTGGTTCATTTATCTTACTAGTTTGTGTGTGTTTTTTTTTTGTTTTAAAATCTTCAGACCCGAATTAGAAGATTTAAGTAGCGAGGACGAGGCTGTAGCAACGGATTTGGATATGCACGCTTTGATTTTATCTAGCAGTACCGATACTCATAGCCCAGAGGAACCCTTGAAAACAGCCGAAGAAGTGCTTCGTGAAATAGATGACATAATGCAGGTATACACAAAAAGTATCTCGAAAATTCATTAATGTTATTTTGTCCAATTAGCAAGAGATATATATATAACGATTCTTATTTATTATTAAATATTTTAGGAGAGTCCGTCTATGGAAAGAACACCCGATTCAGATGGGTCCTTGCTTGACAGTGACGAGGCTTTGGAAAGGAGTAGAGAAGTTCTCGGCTCACCTTTGCACGAAAAAAGTATACTATTTATTCTCTAACAATATCAAATATATAAGAAAAATATATCTCTTTGATTTGATTATATTCATCGAATTATATTTATATATACTATATATTATTATAAAATATTACAAATGTATAATATTTCAGAATTGAAACAATTGACCTCGAATCAACTTACCGAGTTATTAGGAGAAATGGAATCTCTCGTAGCTGCATTGAGCGAGACTCTGATTGCTGAACTTGCACTTCGGGATGAATTGGAATACGAGAAGGAATTGAAAAATCAATTCATTTCTCTTTTATTAGCAGTACAAAATCGACGTAGGCAACATCACGTTACAAAGAAGAAAAACCAAATGCAAAATGGTACTAGTCCGTTACCTCAACATAGGTCCTTGCAAGAATCCAAATATTTGACCACCGTCATTCCATATAACACGGATAGCGGACCACCGGATAATCAGGCTCTGCAAGTCCTTATTAAAAGTAATTTTAACATATTTCTTTTTTTTATCTATTTATAAAATGTTATTTAACTTTTTCGTATATACGGACCATCCGTGCAAAAATCTCACCCGATTCAAATAGGGGTTGTACGATACATATCTACAAACGAATTTATATGGAACGATACTCGCTTTAAAGCATGTCGTAACGAAAGGGTTAAGTAATATTAAAAATCAGTTATTCTTTTTGGAGAATTTTTAGGCTTGCAGCTTTACAATTTGAACCACCTTGTATACACAAGAGATATCTACTTATCTTTATGTATATATATATATATATATATATATATATAGACTGAATATCTATTTATCTTTATATATACTTATTTTTCTATATTTTTTTATATATATAGAATGATGACCTAATATGAAAGTTATTACAAACTACTCTTATTGAAATATATGTGAATAAGCATTAATTATAAAAATTAAAAAAAAATGTATAATTATGAATCTATTTATCTATTTATATTTCTATTAAATAATCTGTACAAATTATTATTCTAACCAAATATTTTGTTTGCAGTATTGAAAGCGATTAGCGAAGATAGTCCAACTGTACCAACTTTGCTAACGGATTATATTCTCAAAGGTGAATAACTGGGAAGAGTTATTATCTCTTTTTCTAAGAAATAGATAACGATTACTTTTAGGAAAAATCTAACATAACTTTTATCTTTTTTAGTTCTATGTCCTACTTAGTGAGTGTACAGTCAATTTCCTTCGAAGATACTCAAAAATCCAAAACAATGATTGCGCTCTCTTCTTCTTGCCAATGCTCTGCATACCATCGTCGTGCCGCGTGCGTTGTTATATTTGAAACAACCATTCTTGCTTCTGAGTTGTATTTTAAATATTACACTCAATGTGTATTGGCTGTAGGATTAGAAGTGGTAACCTGATATTCTCATCTAGTCTTAATTTATATACATATATATATGTATATATATAAATATATATATATTTATATGTATATTTATATTGATAAATATAAATATATAAATATATATATGA